CGAAGCATCACGGACCCGGGAGGGCGTGCAGACCCTCTCGCGGAGCAGGTGAGCAGTGTGCGCCCGGTCCAAGCTGAGTAGGAGAGGGTGCTGGGGGCTGGGGAAGGTCGGCCCTGCTCCCCGCCTCCAGCTTTCCAGACTCCCTCCGGTACCCCCTGATGGCGGGGTTAACGACCCAGCATCACCGAGCAAGGAGACCAAAAGCTGCCCTGCTCCCCCCACCCTCAGAAGGCAGAGCCTAACGGGACTGTAGGGGGCGGGGCGCGCAGACCCTTTGGGGAGAGGGTGGGGGCGGGGCGCGCAGACCCTTTGGGGAGGGGGCGGGAAGGGGTGCGCAGACCCTTTGGGGAGGGAGCCGGGGGCCAGGGGGCGGGGCGCGGAGCCGCAGGCCCCCACCTGGTCCTCTGGCAGGCACAGCAGATCCAGTCTTCCTCCTTCTTCTGGTAGAAGCAGCCGCTCTTGCAGATGCTGTACTTGCGATCCACGATCTCGCGCGTGGAGTTGAGGAAGGTGAAGGGCGGGCAGCAGCGGATGCTGAAGTGCTCGGAGAGCCTCTGGTTCTTGGAGAGCCGGCGGCCCTCCTTGCGCGCCTTCTCACTCATCTCACTGCGGGGCGGGAGAGGCGGGGGTGAGCTCGGCCGGCCCAGCGCACTGCCACCCGCACCCCGCTAATGGCCGTCCAAGCACTATAAAAAGGGACTAGATTAAAAGTGTATAATTTGTATTTGTGAGGCTTTTAATCATGTTTCCTGAAAATGAACTCTTACTTATATTTTAGTGATCCATTTAGGATAGAAAAGATTACAAAACCACACAGTCGTGACAAAATAATAACCTAGACTTAGGAAAGGCCTTTTCTCTAAATAATAAAGAATAATTAGTTATTAAAAAACAATCACGTGCTCGCTTCGGCAGCACATATACTAAAATTGGAACGACACAGGGAAGATTAGCATGGCCCCTGCGCAAGGATGCCACGCAAATTCGTGAAGCGTTCCATATTT